TGAGAAGATCTATTGATCTCCTGGGTAAAGGCTTGCTGTACCTACTGGGAAAGGGGCTGATGTGAAGAGCTATTGATCTCCTGGGTAAATGCTTACTGTACCTACTGGGAAGGGGCTGATGAGAAGATCTATTGATCTCCTGGGTAAAGGCTTACTGTACCTACTGGGAAAGGGGCTGATGTAAAGAGCTATTGATCTCCAGGGTAAATGCTTACTGTACCTACTGGGAAGGGGCTGATGTGAAGAGCTATTGATCTCCTGGGTAAAGGCTTACTGTGCCTACTGGGAAAGGGGCTGATGTCAAGAGCTATTTGTCTCCTGGGTAAATGCTTACTGTACCTACTGGGAAGGGGCTGATGTAAAGAGCTATTGATCTCCTGGGTGAAGGCTTACTGTTCCTACTGGGAAGGGGCTGATGTAAAGAGCTATTGATCTCCTGGGTGAAGGCTTACTGTACCTACTGGGAAAGGGGCTGATGTGAAGAGCTATTGATCTCCTGGGTAAAGGCTTGCTGTACCTACTGGGAAAGGTGCTGATGTAAAGAGCTATTGATCTCCTGGGTAAATGCTTACTGTACCTACTGGGAAGGGGTTGATGTAAAGAGCTATTGATCTCCTGGGTGAAGGCTTACTGTACCTACTGGGAAAGGGGCTGATGTGAAGAGCTATTGATCTCCTGGGTAAAGGCTTGCTGTACCTACTGGGAAAGGGGCTGATGTAAAGAGCTATTGATCTCATGGGTAAAGGCTTGCTGTACCTACTGGGAAGGGGCTGATGTAAAGAGCTATTGATCTCCTGGGTGAAGGCTTACTGTACCTACTGGGAAAGGGGCTGATGTAAAGAGCTATTGATCTCCTGGGTGAAGGCTTACTGTACCTACTGGGAAGGGGCTGATGTAAAGAGCTATTGATCTCCTGGGTAAAGGCTTAATGTACCTACTGGGTAAAGGCTTGCTGTACCTACTGGGAAGGGGCTGATGTGAAGAGCTATTGATCTCCTGGGTAAATGCTCACAGTACCTACTGGGAAGGGCTGATGTGAAGAGCTATTGATCTCCTGGGTAAATGCTCACAGTACCTACTGGGAAGGGCTGATGTGAAGAGCTATTGATCGCCTGGACAAATGCTTACTGTACCTACTGGGAAGAGGGCTGATGTAAAGAGCTAATAATACAGCCTTGTAGGCTACTGGAATAGCCTGTTATGACCCAGTCAGATAACGACCTACTGTGTCAATGACCTAGTGTGTACATGACTGTCTGGGTTAATGGCCTTCCGAGTAGGCTACCTAGTGGGTTAATCAGACCTTCGGGATCAATGACCTTCTGAGTAAATGACCTACTGGGTTAATGATAGGGTTGTAATAGTTATTGATGGTTTAGTAATTGACTTCCGTTGATAAATATTGATGTTGTTTTGTATTCTTTCATTGTTTGGGTGCAGACTTGCACCTTCATTGAGTTTATGTTTTAACTGTTCACTTGATCGGGGTTCCAAGTTTCTTGTCAATTTTTAAAAGAGACTGAACTACCTGAACTTATTTTCATTTCATATACACTGTACATTCATTTGGGAAATGACTTCAAATGAGACAATTTAAGGAGAAGAAAAAACTATTGCAATAGTTGGTCGCAATGGACTATCGCTATCGCAAGAGTATGTTGCAATAGACTATCGTTATCGCAAGAGTATGTTGCAATAGACTATCGTTATCGCAAGAGTATGTTGCAATAGACAAGTACAGTCAGTATTAAGAAAAAACAATGATTGAAAGTTTGGTATCAAACTAGCACCACCCTATTTCTAACAAGAACCGTCACAACAGGCTTCTTTTTTCAAGATAAAAAGTTTGCTTCTCTTTTGTCATGTGGAAATCACATACATGCAGCGGGCCAGAAAGTTTTGTGTCCAGTGATGGATTTCAAACCTTTGACCTTTTTGATCCATAGTCGGACGCTTTGTCCACGTGACCGACGAGCTCAACCCTGTCAGAACAATGCCATCTGTGGGATGACTCCACGCCATGTTAACTCTTTCAACACCAGTCAACCAGAGGCATTTACTGCCATGACACCGAGTTCCCAGAGACCCTGAGGTCATAGATGAAGCCTATGTTTATGAAGGAAATTATAAGCTTGTAAAACGTTATTGCTACTTCATCCCATACACCATTTAAAAGATCTGATCCTACTATTGATAAATATGAAGTTTATTTTTATAATATTATTCAAATAATACAACTACAACTTAACTAAATGTATTTTTGAATGAAAATGCAAGCTTACAATTATAACGTCCAGATAAACCACGAAAGAAGCAAAAACTATGGCGATTTTTTTCCATTTGTGACATGTGATAACATGCCCGTACCTTTTTCTTTTATATTTTCATTTTTACGTCATCAGAAAATTATTATAAAAAGATTTCTTAAATAATATGTATGGTCGCCTATTTCCCGATATCTGTGGCTTTCCGCTCAGTAACATGACATAACAACGGAAAATACCTCCGTTTTCGAAGCTTCGTATGCATAACATGTGAGGCGAATCGTTTGATGTCGGGCATCGTTCGAAAGCTCTGAGCATCAACAATATCACTGTACCCTTGCCAAGAGTATTTTCACAGATGTAAGAAGCGATTTTATTGGATAAAGATTGGTTTCTAATGACACTTTTTCGCCACAGTCTGCTATAAGGGTCGTGATTGGTCAAAATCAGACACGTGACCTAAGGCAGCCAATCATATTACGGCAATGGATACCGTCCTCCTAAGTAAGCGAAAACCTTCAGATTTAGACAAAAGTTTTGGGTAAAATAATGCTATTCTGAACATATTAAGCAAGAAATCACTACCTGTATGCGTAAATTATGGAACTTATTGGGCGTATCGGGCTAGGTTATGACCTGTGACAAAATGCTTCATGTATATATGTTAGCATTAAACGCGGTCCGTGTCAGTGAAGATTTAGGCGTGAGCCGAGATGTCACTTCGTCAGTGACTTGACTTGCATTACATGATTGCACAAAAGATGGAAATAGTAATTTTATATGTACGTTTGACAACTTTTATGAATGTTGTTGTTGATTTTATTCATTAGTTCATTCAATTTATTTAATGAATTCCTCGAAACATCGTTACTTTGCTCTTTCACAATGTTATTGTAGACCAGCTTAACTCTTTCAACACCAGTCAACCAGAGGCATTTACTGCCATGACACGAGTTCCCAGAGACTCTGAGGTCATAGATGAAGCCTATGTTTATGAAGGAAATTATAAGCTTGCAAAGCGTTATTGCTACTACATCCCATACACCATTTAAAGATCTAATCCTACTGTTGATAAATATGAAGTTTATTTTTATAATATTATTCAAATAATACAACTACAACTTAAATAAAATTATTTTGAATGAAAATGCAAGCTTACATTTATAGCGTCCAGATAAACCACGAAGAAGCAAAAACTAAGGCGATTTTTTCCATTTGTGACATGTCATAACATGCCCGTGCCTTTTCTTTTATATTTTCACTTTTACGTAATCAGAAAATTATTATAAAAGATTTCTTAAATAATATGTATGGTAAGCCTATTTCCCGATATCTGTGGCTTTCGGCTCGGTAACATGACATAACAACGGAAAATACCTCCGTTTTGAAGCCATTATGAATAACATGGGGCCGAATCGTTTGATGCGGGTATCGTTCGAAAGCTCTGAACATCAACAACATCACTGAACCCTTGCGAGTATTTTCACAGTTGTAAGAAGCGATTTTATTGGATAAAAATTGGTTTCTAATGGCGGCTTTTAAGCTACAGTCTGCTATAAGGGTCGTGATTGGTCAAAATCAGACCCGTGACCTAAGGCAGCCAATCATATTACGGCAATGGATACCGTCCTCGTAAGCGAAAACTTTTAGATTTAGGCGAAAGTTTTGGGTAAAATAATGCTATTCTGAACATATTAAGCAAGAAATCGCTACATATCGTAAATTATGGGACTTATTGGACGTGTCGTGCTAGGTTATGACCTGTGACAAAATGCTTCATGCATATATTTTCGCATTAAACATCGTGTCGGCGTGAAGATTGGCGGTGAGAGCGAGATGTCACTTGTCAGTGATTTGACTTGCATTACATGATCGCACAAAAGATGGAAAAAGTAATTTTATATATGCGTTTGACAACTTTTATGAATGCTGTTGTTGATTTTATTCATTAGTTTATTCTATTTATTTAATCATTTCCTCGAAACATCGTTACTTTGCTCTTTGACAATGTTATTGTGGACCCGCTCGAAGCATGTGTCCGAGAATCGTTGTTTTCAATAACATTGCGAAAAATAGTTTATAATTTTAATTCTGCTGATAATATATGATAAATTGAAATTTAATAAGTGTTTTCAGACATTGTGAAATGTGATAAATTTAATATATGAATCATAAGTCAGGTAGGTTCCTAAAATTATGTCTCATTTTGACGTGACTACTGCCTGCCCGCTTAATCGGCCTCCGGTGTCTGGGGACTCATAGCGTTGTGGCGGCTCATAACGTTGTGGCCGCTTAAGCGGCCTGCGGTGTTGAAAGGGTTAAAGGTGAAATGATATACTGCAGTATTAGTAGAACCGCGGTATTTTGCTTTCGGTTCGGTATACCGTAACGCAATCCAAACAATCAATATATTTGGTTTTCGTACCATCAATTTATTAACCTTTTTTAAAATGTCATGAATACGAATAATTCGCCAAAATCTATGCATTTCTTTTCTTTTCTGCATTATGATCATATCTCATATACCGAACCGAAACGGACTGAACCGAAGACCTTGTACCGCAACATGTCCCGTACCGGTTCAGCCCTACGCCATGTTTCATTCAGGTTTGAAGACGAAGATAATTGTTTCAGCTCTACAGGACAGACTGATGTACGAATGGACCAAACACACAACGTAACATCACAATGACAATGTTGTGGTGAGCTGAACAGGCTGCAACAAACATTACTCACCTGATGAAGACGAATAATGTGTGGATGCTTGAGCAGCTTCATAATCTTTATTTCTCGGAATATTTTCTTCAAATTATCCTCACATAGTTGTGTTTTATCTATAATCTTGATTGCTACCTGAAACATACAAGAGGATGGCACTGAGTTATGCTGTCTGCCTCAATTCCATTTGATACATGTGTCAAAATGTATATATAATGACATTTGGGTCAAAGGGCATATATAACGAGACTTGTATCAAGATCAATATATAGTGATACCTGGATCAAGATGAATATATTATAATGACACTTGCATCAAGATGAATATATAATGACATTTGGGTCAAAGGGCATATATAACGACATTTGTATCAAGATCAATAAATAGTGATACCTGCATCATATATAACAACACTTGCATCAAGATGAATATATAATGACATTTGGGTCAAAGGGCATATATAACGACACTTGTTTCAAGATCAATAAATAGTGAAACCTGCATCAAGATGTATATATAACGACACTTGCATCAAGATCTATAGACAAGGACACTTGCATCAAGATGTATATAACGACACTTGCATCAAGATGAATATATGACATTTGCATCAAGATGAATATATGACATTTGCATCAAGATGTATATATAACGACACTTGCATCAAAATGAATATAACGACATTTGCATCAAGATGAATATATAATGACATTTGCATCAAGATGTATATAATGACATTGCATCAAGATGTATATATATAACGACATTTGCATCAAGATGAATATATACTAGCCACATAAAGAAACTGTGCATTGTCAAAATATTATCCCAGTTGATAAGTATGATAACAATGTCAAAGGTACATATAAACTTTAATGGAGGGATCATGAGACCATAACAAGTCGGGAGAATTTCAATTGAAAAGTCAATCACAATGACGTCACGAGTCGGTAAGCGGGACAGGGGTCAAACGACCAGGTCACAAGCTCAATAACGGGTATGTCCACCATCGGCATTGAGAACAGCAGTGCATTAACGACACATAGAGCCTATCAAACGTGCAAGGAAGATTTGTGGGATGTCACGCCAGATTCTCTCAAGTTCTGTTATAAGGCCAAGGATGAGGAAGACGGCGTAGATGTCGATCCATCTCGTCCCAAACATGCTCTATCGGGGAGAGATCCGGTGAATTTGCTGGCCAAGGCAGTAAGTCAACGTTGTGGTGTTGCAAGAAATCCAAAGCAGCCCTTGCCGTATGAGGATGGGCATTGTCCTGTTGGAATGTTAACCTAGGCCCATGACGTTGCAGAAAAGGAATTGCCACAGGTCGAAGAATCTGATCCCTGTAGCCCACACCAGTTAAGTTGCCCTGAACAATCACCAAAGGAGTTCTTTGGCGTGCTGTTATTCCACCCCAGATCATCACAGAACTACCACCAAAGCGATTCCTCTCCAAGACACAGGCCTGTGCATAACGTTCTCCCACGCGTCTATAGGCACGTTGACTTCCATCACTATGGGAAATGTTAAACCTGGACTCATCTGTAAAAACAACATTTCTCCACCAAAACAAGGGTCTGCAGACATGATTTCGGCACCACATTCGGCGAGCTTGTCGATGATGTTGTGTCAGGATAGGCTGTATGGCGGGACGTCGTGGTCTGATCCGGTGATGACGTAAACGTTGTCGAACTGTGTTGGGGTGGATACGGCGAAGTCCTGGGATGGTTCGGGCAGTCATCACTGAAGTCTGAAACCTGTGGCGAAGCTGGGTCACCCTTATCCATCTGTCCTGTCTTGGCGTTGTTACACGTGGACGTCCAGAACGTGGCTGATCGATGACGTCATTTGTGTTCTGGTAGTGTCTCACCAGTGCAGAAATGGTGTTCTGGTGGCAGTGGAAATGTGCAGCCACATGTCATTGAGATATTCCCCCACGGACCATCCCAATGGCCTCATGACGTTGTGCAGATGTGAGCCTTGGCATGCTATGCGTTTCAATAGCCATTTAATTTTTTGAACGATCGCAAGGGCAGGGGTTGAGCTTTCCAAAGTGACAGTATTGTGTGGCATTCGTTTGCTCTGTTTCTCTTTCCCGGAATGCACGTGCAACAACGTATTGCACGTCTCAAGGACGAACCCACTGACGTCACGGAAAGTGGCACGTGCATGCATGTTGGATACATGTCACTAATCTCTGAGTTTAAATCCTTAACACAGCTTTGATAAATTTAGATTTAAATTTTTGTATGCACAGTTTCATTATGTGCCTAGTATATAATGACATTTGTATCAAGATGTATATATAACGACACTTGCATCAAGATGAATATAACGACATTTGCATCAAGATGAATATATAATGACATTTGCATCAGGATGTATATATAACGAGACTTGTATCAAGATGTATAGATAACGATAATTCAGGGAAGATTCATGTAAAGCTATACTTCAGGGAAGATTCATGAAGAGCGATACTTAAAGCAAGATTAAAATAAAGCGCATCTTGAGTCAAGATGCATATATTGCAGGGAATGAAATTTAAGCTTGCGATAGAGCACAAGACAGATAGTTTAGGTTTGAGTTTTGATGATCCAAACTTAAAACATCGCAACAATTATAATGTCATTTCAATTTATTTTTAATAAATCAGTAAACATCATGAAAATCTGAGAGGTGGAATTCCTGAACATGGCTGCAAGTACAGTTAAGCTTTCTTTGTCCTGGATTCAAAAACTAACCTATAAACTATGTTTTATCCAAAACAGGATTTCTTGTTGTGGGCACTGGGATTCAAAATGGATGCGCCCATCTTCAGCTGTCAGATTGGGAGTGCCACCGATTAATTGTTCCTTGGGGTTTAAAAATAGGTTTTCAATCGTCGAATTGGTCAAACTTATTGCATTTTCCTATAAATGAATAACGGTGACTGTTATTTTAAGTATATATATATATATGTCAGGGTAGAGATTGCGATATGGTAGGATCGGAGATTCTACCAGTAGAGATTGTGATCGGAGTGTCTTCCAGTAGAGATTGCGATCGGAGTCTCTACTGGTAGAATCTCCGATCCTACTAGTAGAGATTGCAATCGGAGTCTCTACCAGTAGAGACTCTGATTATATCGAATAAACTATACAATCGCAATCTCTACCAGTAGAAGCACAAAGCTGATGCTACTAGTAGAGATTGCGATCTAAGTGAATATTTAGAAAAACAAAATGAATTTCCGTATATTGTAGAATGACGTCTTCCATTGAAAAGTGCACACTGTTTGTCCAACTTGATGTTTACAAACAAAATGAAAATAAACATTGTTACTTTGTTTTCATTTATGATTGCTATTGTAAATAAATATAACTCTAACCCAAATATATTTCTGGCCGGTCATTTCCCCACCTTCCTGTTTTTGTTGCAGTGTTCACGAATAGCGTCTGACCCTCTGACAAATTTGGCAGATTCGCCAACGGTCCGATAGTTGTCTACAACCTGCCGGCCCCAGTGTCTGACTGTATATTTCATAATGACTTTCACTGAATTTGTTATATATGACATGTGCCACTTGTTGGCTGTTTATGTTTGTTAATAATTTCAATGCCAATTATAAGGAATATTAAATCTGAAATGTGTGTTTAATTTTATTCTATGGGTCCTGTGCATTTTCAATGGGTCAGACAGACATCTGAAACTACAGGCCCCAATGTCCTGTTACTATGAAACACCATTTGTGAACACTGTTGTTGTTGTTATAGTACAGTTATGGGATTACTAAAAAGGCTCGATAAGTAAAGTAATTATTGTTATAAATGGCAGCTAAAGGTAAATATAGAAAAAACTAAGGTATTCGGCTATGTATGGGTTAATCAAGATGTAGGTTGTAATAACAGTTTTATTTCAAGTTTTAAGGAAAGGAATATTGCTATTGATAACCAGTGTTTCTTTGAAAGTATATCAAGTTATTCCAAACTTCGGTTATATAAATCTGTTAAAAGTGAAATTAAATGTGAGGATTATTTATTGCTAATTAGTGTACCAGTTTACCGTATTGCACTCTGTTAGCTCCGATGCTCTAATCATCAACTGCTAATCAAGGGAAAGGCGAAAGGCCTAGCAAGGGCCGAAAGATTATGCCATTTTGCATTGTACCCATTTTTGAGTCTGAATATCACTTCTGCTTAGAATGTAATTTTTATAATAATCTTAGGTCAGGCCCTGCTCCCAAAGTATTATTACACTTCTCCATCTCTCCATAAATTTGTACAGTTGTTGTCATCTTTGTTGTTTGCTACAGATCAATCAGAGTTTCTACCATTTGAATTGGAAATGGTACTGGTAGAATCTCCGATTGTACCAGTAGAGACCCTGATAGCAATCTCTACTAGTAGGATCGAAGATTCTACCAGTAGAGACTCCGATTGCAATCTCTTCTGGTAGAGACTCCGATCGCAATCTCTACTGGTAGAATCTCCAATGCTACCAGATCGCAATCTCTACCCTGACATATATATATATATGTCAGGGTAGAGACTGCGATCTGGTAGAATCAGAGATTCTACCAGTAGAGATTGCGATCGGAGTCTCTACTGGTAGAATCTCCGATCCTACTAGTAGAGATTGTAATCGTAGTCTCTACTGGTTGAATCAGAGATTCTACCAGTACATTTTCCAATTCAACTGGTAGAAACTCAGATCCTACTAGTAGAGGCTGCAATCGTCTTCAACTGGTAGAAACTCCGAGTGATCTGTGGGTAAACAACAAAGACACTTTTTTCTGAACAGTACTATGCATTTTATTCAGATATAACACTTAGACTGTTTCCACTTCTACAGATATATTAAGGACTAAAAATACAAATGTGACTTGAGAGATCATATTACAATATACAGTGAAGCCCCCTTAGTCCGGACTCCGATAATCCGGATGTCTCGCCTCCCGGGCGATTTCAGCTTGTTACCAATCTATGCCTATATAATTTGCCTCGATAATCCGGAAATTCGGTTTCCGGAACCGGACGGTAAGTAGCTGTCACCAATCAGTAAAATAAACAGTAAATTGCTTCACAGTCCGGACGCTGTAAGTCGTGTTCACGAACCGTAACAACACCGCCCGGCGATGTTTACTTAATTAACTG